CACAGCACTGTAATGTTTAAAAGAAGAGAACAGAAAGAGAAGAAATTACCTTCTTGAAGCAGAATCAATCTGACTTTCATTCCTGCTGCGTTCGTTATATGGCAACAAATGGGGACGTTCAGGAACCGAGGATCAACTTTAGAGATGGACAGAGTGGAAAGACGATACACCTTCCCCCTTTCATGAATACTAGAAGGGACAGGACCAGTCAGTCGGTGATAAATCAGTCAAACAAACAAGATTGGCATGAATTTTACTTTGTTCTTTCACTCTACTTTGGTTACAGCTGTTTAAATAAATCTTAGCCACTAAAAGAACGACAAATCAAAACCCATTTAAGTTTTTTCATGACCCTGTTGAACATGGTGAGATTTGAAGTGTTTTGAAATTTTCACCATTTTCCCACGGAATGTTTCACGGATCTTGATGAAAAAAATTGACATATTTATGGGACTATAATCTATGAGCATGTGCAATTTGGTGCATCTTGATTGAACCCAAGGGGAATGTTTACATTCCTAGTTTGACCAATCAGCAGGGTTTGTGCCCGTAAACAATGCATGCAGGATGTGTCAGAACAGTTTGTCTCGATTACAAGATCAAGATCAATATTTGTTTTCCTGGGACTTTCCTGGGGAATGTAGCTGAGATTAGTCAAATGTCATGGACCTAAAACATCTGTAAAGATGTGACTGTTTTGTCTAGTTAGAATTAGTCACTCCGCTAGATATGATTACATAGATATGATGGGAGTGATGAGAAAATATTTACAACCCTTCCCCCCGTCGGAGGGGAAGGGTTGTTACCAGCTTGTTCCATGAAACCGTAAGAAAGGGAGGAGACACTCACTTTTTAAAGGATTCGTTGAGTACCTCCCTGTAATCCTCAGGGAAGATATCGCCAACAGTCCAGTACATGAGTGTTTTAGGGTCCTCACTGAAACCTATGTAGGCTAAACACTGCAGCTCTGCTCTCATACCTGCTTGTCAGTGAAATGAGAAAACAATGCAGCTGTCACTCTGCAAGTTAATCTAAGTCACAAGGCAACATTTAAGCCCCTCAACTCCTGCATGTTGGTATCAGTGGAGTTTCATTTATAAGAACATAAAGCCTAAATGTGTTGCATGAGTAATGAGTATACACAAAGATTTAGGGGGAAATGTAGATCTTTGGTAAACAGACAAGCTGCAGAGTGTTCATTGATTTACACAATTCTGCTGATGTTTTAACCCCTTAAAGGTTCAGTGTGTAGAATTGAGTGGCATCTAGTGGTGAAGTTGCAAGTTGCAGCTGAATACCTCTCACCTCCCCCTCCCCTTCCAAACATGACAGAGACCCTGTGGCAGCTTCAGTTGCCATAAAAAAGGAATCATGGTGGCCTCCGTAGAGAGGAGCCACTCCTGATGTACAAAAATAGTATT